GTCTAAGGAAGAAATCAATTGAGAAAAAAAAGTCCTAGTTAGGATGGGTGTTATTGTTATATTTAGAACACATTATTGAAGAAAATGGATTTTTCTTGGCAGAGGCAAATAAAATGTGGTACTATGCTGCGAGTTCATACAAGGTACAAAAAAAAACATAATCTGTCAAGCATGCCACTGCAGTCTAACAGACTATTTAGTAGTTTAACAAAAAGTGATCAAATGATGGTAATCATGGTGATCCCTAAAAGAAACATAATTAGATTCATCTAATAAGATTGCATGTCAAAAGCCTTGAGGAGAATATATTCCCTAACTTTTTAACCATGCATTTTTCAAAAACCTGCGCTGAATTTTTTCTAAATTATTGATATGAACATCTTAACTGAAGGACCAAATTACTGACGCATATTCCAGTTTTGACCAAACATAAGAGTTATACAATATTTTTTATCCTACTGAACTATTATCACCATATTATAATATCGGGTCTTCAAAAAAAAAACCAATCAAAGACTGCTATGGTTTTTTAAACGTAAAGTCTGTTTTTTTAAAGATAATTCCCCAAGTCAAAAGTCTAGTAACTATGTTTGCAGCACAAGCCTCTTCTACATAAAAAAATTGAAAGCATTGACAATTTTACATTGGGTACATTCAGGCCAGGCGGTCCCAGCGGCTAAGCTCAGCCACTCCGCAGGGAGTTTATTCTCCAAACCAAGGAACAGCGTTTTCATAAGAACGATTGCTCTGTCATTGTCGTCTGGCGACAAAGACAGAACATTCGATCAAATGAGAATGCTGCTCCCCTGTTTCGAGAATAAAGTTCCCGCTGAGTGGCTGAACTAAGCCACTGGCACCGCCTGAATGTACCTACCCATTTTATTGCCAACATAATGTCATTTTGACTTTTATCTTTAAAAAAAAAACACACAGCTGTATGCAACATCCTCTTTTAACTTAAAAGCGCTTTTCAAAACTGGTCACTTTCAAAAATGTGTATTCTAAGCCATACAAACTTTTAAAGGTACCAGTTTTAAAAAGCGCTTCTAAGTTTAAAGAGAATGCTGCATACAGCTGACAGACTTTATGTCTTAGCACTATTTTTCTTTAATTTTGTCAATGAATTTCAATGTCAAAATGTCATGTCAAAAATCCCGACCAATGAAGAAACAATAATGCGACATACATTTTCGTATTCAAAGCAATCTTTGATTGGTTTTTTTTTTGAAGACCCAATACCTTGGTTACGATAATCATAAACAGGGTTTTAACTCTTGCGTGGGAGTTAGGGATTTCATAACTCCCGCTTTTACCTTGGAACGGTACAACTTTGAGAAAAAATAGAAATTTTGGTTTATTCCTTTATAAAAATGGACAAAATACAGTAAATTCATTAGGAAATAAAATTATCTACATACCACGGGAATTATCAGGTGTTAATACCCATGGGCAATTGGTTGATAGCTTATGAAAAGCTACAGACGAGAATGTAAAATCGGCTTCGTTGTAAAATTAGCCGTTTAGGTTTTACAGCCTGTCAAAGTTGCAAAAAAGTCAATTTTCAACTGTCAATATTTCCGAAACAGTCAAAGGTAGGTATATAACATTGTCCATCACTTAGATTGTACATCAAATATGTCTAGAATTTTCCGCAGAATCCATAAATGACATAATATACAGGGTGATCCATTTGAAAAAACTAAGTTTCTGATATTTCCCAAAAAAAACAAAAGATCTGACAACCATGTGAATACTACCATATTATCGACCATATTACCAGAGTCTTTAAAACCCCAAAATTCATTAAAGTCGTGCAAGCCGTAGCTTCTTGAGGCACTAGACAGTAGTTTCTTGACATGAGGAACAAAAGGGACTCTTGAGTTAAACTTTACGCCTAAATCGCAAAAAGTATTGGCACAGCTAAGATCTTGGTTGTAAAGGAAACCACATAACATTTCTTCATATTGAGCTGTAAGTTATATTTGATGCACCAATCATTGATCCTCTCCAGATTACATAGAAGAGTGAGACAATTGTCCAGACACTGGACATTTTTAAATACATTTATGTTACCTGCATGAGTATAACAGAAAATCTACATCAAGATCCCTATGAATGTCATTTACAAATACAGTGTGTTTTACGAACATCGAAACAGAGGCGTTTTAAGGTTGATTTAAACAAAAACGCTCGGCACGTCATTTTTGTATTCAAGGGAAAAACTTTTTGACCCCATCGACATTTCGCTAGCGTGCTCTCCCTGGGTAGGGTGACTTTCACCCTCTTTTTTAGATAGGGAAGATGTGAGTGATACCTTGTTTTAAAGGTATTGTCATTCTCGTCAAAACTGCATATATTTTTTTTAATCGAATGATCAGTTCTCAAGATAATCACTGTCAAAGTTGCCATGGGCTAAATAAGAAACAATCTTCTGGCCCTGTTATTCTCAAATTAACACTTTCCTGACTTTCTTCTTGGACACGTCAATTTATATTTTTCAAGTGCTTCTGAAAAAAAATGAAAAATAACGTGTCCGAGAGGAAAGCCAGCAAAGTGTTTATTTGAGAATAACAGGACCAGAAGATTATTCCTTATTTAGCCCATGGCAACTTTGATAGTGAATATCTTGAGAACTAATCATTCGATTTTCAAAAAAAAAAAAAATATGCAGTTGTGACGAGAATCAAAATACCTTCAAAATAAGGTACCTCTCTCATCTTCCCTATCTAAAAAACAGGGGTGAATGTCACCCCTGGGGGTGCACCCTAGCGAAATCCCGATGGGATCAAAAAGTTTCCCGTTTCCCCCTTGAAATGACAATTCCGAGCGTTTTTTTTTTATCGTCCTTAAAATACCCTAAAACGCCTCTGTATCGATGTTCGTGAAACACCCTGTATATACAGGGTGTCCCACGAGGTTTTACCCAAATGATAACTTCGGAACACATCATCGTATGTTCCACTGTATAATTTTTTTTTATTTTTTTTTAACAAAGCCTTAACCAATAAGGCATTGCCAATTTTGTAATTGTATTTTCTACCGAAAAATGCCATAATAAGTATACCATGAGTTACATTTAAGATTCGAAAGTTGACGTCAGTTGACCAAAATTGAACCATAGGTGGTGAAATTGGATAACAATGGGTAGAAGCAGCACAAAAAGTTACCCAGATCCTCAAAAATTACTTTTGAACAAAGCTTATTATTCAGAAATCGAATATTTTGACGACTTATTTTAGACTGTGATTTTTTATACATTTATTTTATTTTATTTAAGACCCGCTTTAATTTATGTTTTGACCTCCTGTGTAATTTTAGTATCGTCGTTTTATTATGTATTCTTTGTATTGTCGACTTATCGGTGTTTTTAATATTGTTTTACAAGTCAGCATTATATTATGTTTTAGGTATTTTTTTTTTAGTTTTTAATTCTGCTTTGTCAATGAGATGTTTTAATCTTTTTTTTTATGACAATAAAGCTGTTTTTGAATTTGAATTTGAATTTTGAAAAATTTCAATTATATTGGATGACGCGTTCCTAAGTTATTATCTGGGAAAAACGTTGTGGGACACGCTGTATATTATAGGCGATGTATGGAGCCTTGCAAACGCCAGTATTGACAGAGTATTTATAAAATGTGCACCCACTGAAAAATATATTCAAAGTGCTTAGACAAGTATGAGCCAAGTTTATAAATTAAAGCATTATGATCCAGGTCATCAAAAACCTTCAAGAATTCTAGATACATAATAGCTGTGTTCCAACCGCATGAGAACCACTCCTGCCCATCCAGTTGCATCAATTTCAAATAAAGCCCCCCAGAGCGTTTTTGATTGGTTCAAATCGCCAACAACCAGTTTTCTGGTTATTTACAACCAATGAAATTCGCTCTGACTGGTTTGTGATTTCTGTGGAAACATACCTTTTAGGTACACCCTGTATGGTATCCATGCAAGTCTTCTTTACTTACCTAATTGCGAGCCTAATTGTGTATATTATAGGTCTGTTTCCACAGAAATCACCCACCAACCAGTCAGAGCGTTTTTGATTGGTCCAAATTGCCAACAACCAGTAATTTCCAGTTGCCCGCCTATTTATCAATAAGTTGAACGTCTATCCTACTTGACAAATGAATTGATCGACTGGAAATTACCATTCTAGAACGGTTCTCATGTAGGTTGAGCTATTATCAACTTTAGAACAATTGATTCAGCAATATATTGAGATGCCTCAAGTAAGTTAGTTACAGTGGATCTTCCTTTAAAAAATCCATGTTGTTGGGGAACTATTTCATTCTTGACAGCAGGAAATATTTTATCATATAAAAGAAATTCTAAAACTTTAGAAAAGTTACAAATAAGAGAGACTGGCCTGTAGTTTGTGATATCTGCTCTATCATATTTTTTATACACAGGAACAACTCAAGAAGTTTTCCATAAACTAAGGATTGTTTGGTACTTCAAGCCTAAGTTAAATAGAAATGGGTCTTCAAAAAAAACATCACTAAGCCGGGCTTAATGAACTACGGAGAATATGGCCCTAAGAAAATAATGTAATATATGTTTTCGTAATCAAAGCAATCTTTGATTGTTTTTTTTTTTTGAAGACCAGTTACCATAAGTAACCTAACCAGAACAAAATGACAATCGTGTATAAGGGATGCAGGGATAAAATCTGGGCCTGTGGTAAATTTGGGTTTTTTGTTTTTCCAACATTGCTACATAGCATACACTGCAATTATAAAATCAAGGGATCTCCCGAGGAATTCTATTTTACAGATTTTAGTGATATATGTGAGAAATTTGAAAATTATAAAGATATCTACTCAGATATCTACAAAGGAAAAAGAAAATTTGATTAATAATAATTGTCAGCAATAGACAGGGTTTCAACTTTTAAAAAAAAATTTACTCAAAAATGTCTTCAAGTTAATTTTTTAGGAGATAAGCGGTAAGGTACCTAACAGTTAGGTTATGAAATTCAATAAAGCAGTACTTACCTCTTCTACAGTAAGGGGCAAGGTGACACGGCTAGAAAAAATAAAAATTAATCAGTACATTAGAATGAAACCTATAATAGATATTTGCTGACAAAAACAAGGGCAAATTTCAAATTGGTTAAATTTCAAGGTGCTGGAGCAAAAGTGGAAAATTTTCAAATAAAACCAATCAAAAATCGAATAAATTAATGCTTATCGAGGATAATCTATAACTTGCCGCCCAGATAAATTAAGATATCACTGAAAAATGATTTTTTTTGACACTTCATCCCTTTGGTTTTCAAGACCCTTTTATATTAATCGCATGAAACCGGAATTGGTACAGCAAATTAAATGACAACGATAAGAGATACAAGCCTACTTACTATTCTTTAATTAACATCTTGTATTTCACTAGTTTTTAACTATTTAACATATGAAATTTATTGGAGAACTAAAAATTGTCAAATGAATCACTGGCACTGACGAAAGGGAGGCAACAGCGCACACTCCATGACGCAATGTTGTGACGTAAATGACATGCACTTTCGATAACGAATATTTTCCACATACTCATTTTCCATAAAAATCAATACCTAGTTTTGTCTTTGTTATAAAGGGGGATTGGAAAGAGATAAGGCGAGAAACATTGTTGGATTCTGCACCACGTTTGGCAACGCTGTGATTTTTTTGAATTGTACAGTGGCGGAGACCAAAGTTCAATGGCAAACAATTACAATTATTTTTTTGTCCGTAATTTAAGCTCATGACTAAAATGGTAATTGTTGTTTTCTACTACGTATTTATCATTATACTACTACTAGCTATTAGTAGTTTATGTCTGAACCCAAGTATCAAGCATTTTTGTCGTAAATCAATTACCAATAATTGAAGTAGATTTTTAAAAATCATGCATGCAGCATTATAAATTATCTTACTAGTAAAATTATGGATTATGGAATCTAAACCCATTATCTAGTGGAATCATAATTAAAAATTTATATTTATTGATATAAAAGGCGCATTATATTTTTGGCCGCACATTGGATTCAAATTTGTCGGCCTTGTTCAACGTTGCCGGATATCCAATAGCGTGACCACGCGTGACTCTCCTAGTTCCTAGTTGAGACAAAAATTGTTCGGGTTCCGAGTGTTCTGAATCGCCACGCCCTCTGCTCTACAAAGATGATATATAGCGTTGAACATGAAGTTACTTTTTCGGATTAGGCGTACGTTCGCCACTTCTCGAGTCGGCAAGGTCTGCGAGTGACGTCACCACTATCAGCTGGGGTACGTTCATAAATGAACGGCCCTCCCCTATCATTGTCCTCGATCGCCCATGCGTTCATAAATACTTCGGCTTTACCGGTTTCAAATGTTTCAAATGCTACGCACATTTATAAATGTAGGTTAGGCCTAAAACACACGGAGCGGTTTTTGCCGAGTCGGCACCGATTCGGCGGAGGAGCGGCCCGAAACACACACAGCCTAGCCTTACCGCTCCTGGCAGATCTACTAATTGAAGACCTTAGAGCAATACAATGGTAAGCCTCAAAATCAAAAAGTTGAGATATGACGGTTTAAAGTTTTCAAAAATTCTGTAAAAAAATGGTTTTGATTTAAAGATTTCAAACATTGTCAGTATATAACATCAAAGAGGGAGAAAGATAAGCAACTAATATTTAAAAAAAAAAACAATTTTTTTTTACAAAAAATGGAGTTTATTTTGAAAAAATATGGCTTAACATGTTTTTGCTTAAACTAAACTCATTATAAAAATAACTGAAAAAATACAATACTACTCATCTAAGATTTCAACCTCTTCGTCTAAATCATTAACAGCAACATTTAGTTGCGTATAAAATGCATGGTAGGCTGGCGGTATATAAGGCAATAATGTGTGTATATTTTTAATTTTTTTTTCTGCAATTTTTACTGGCTCGTTGTATTTAAGTTTAATATCTGACAAGCTTATCATTGCAGGTCTACCTTGTTTTAAAACATTAATTTCCCTGTACTCGCCATTGACTGTACTTTTAACGAAAAATGACCCAACATTTTCTGACTTAAAAAGAAAACTGTACGTTCCTGCAAATTCTAAATTCTGCTTGTCAGGAAAACGTGCTTTTTTGTTGATATTAGTTAGTAAAGGCTCAAAAGAAAAAAAATCTTTTTGTGTCATTTTTGTAACAACAAAAGGGTTTTTTTTATTTGCTTTTTCAATAATATCTAGCCAACCTTCTGGTGAATAAATCACTGGAGCCCGGTGTCTCTGGCGTTTTTCGATCAGAGCAAAATCTCTGTCTGACGGCATAACGGAATGACCGCTAACAAGAAAGTGATGTGTTATTTTTTTAAACTTTTTTTCCTTTACTAACTGCAACCAAAATGCCATCATCTGCCAGTTCTTATTCTGACCCGGGCAGTTATCAGTAAAAATAACAAGTTCATCATAATCTAATTTAGTTTCTAAAAATTTCATTAGAACAGAAGTAACTTCATCAGCTCCGCGCTTAGCCTGATCTTCAGTCCACAAATACATGAAACCTTTCTTATTTGTGCAATCGTGAATTCCTAGGTTATAAAGCCAAATCTTTCGGCAGTAAAATGCAGGTCCAGTTGTTAGTTTTGGAAGTGGCATACTTTGTTGCAAATCAAAAGAGATTACTAATTTTTTTTTATCAGGTGTGTCTATTTCACTTTTGAGCAATTTTTGCATTGCGTCAGCTCTAGCCTGGTGCAGGTTCAAAAATGTAGTTAGCTCTTTTTCTAGCTCTATATTGTTAGCTTCCTTTGCCGCCTTTATTTTAATACCCGTCTCATCGCAGGTCTTGCAGGTATCCGATTTTGGTAGTTTGAATCCTATGTTATATTGAGTACAGAATATTTTTCTGTAAGCGCTCTCTTTAACTGGACTGATATTTTGTTCCCTACACCAGGGCACATAGAAATCTGTATACAGTCCAGTAATAGTCATATCGCAGTTCAGATATAGCTTACCGATATTTTTGGCTCTGCTGTAGTGGCTTTGATATTTAGGTATTGATTCAATATGAGTTTTAACAGATTGAATTTGTTCGTCCGAATATCTATTGTGTCTATTATTGTGTTTGCCACGCATATCAGGTTTAGGAACCATAGCCCCTCCTGCCTTTATTTTAAGAATCCTTTCAACTCTTCCCCGAGATTTTTGAAGACCGTGAACACTCAAGAATTCGGTTTTGCATATTTTTATTTCTTCGTCTCCTATATTAACCAAATAATCAGCCGTAAACTTTCTTCTGGAAACATTATTCTTTTGTTTTTTCTTGTATGACCTTTTCTTATTTTTTGCTCTTATACAACCAAACAGATAGCTATTTTGGAGATCGAATGAACCCAAATCCCAAAATTTTGTAAACAATTGCTCATGGTTACCTTGCAATTTCTCCCTGCATCTATTTTTACAGTCACAAGGCAAACCAATTTCACGCGCATTGATAATCTTCTTAGTTTTTGTCGCCGTATATTGATGTCCCGAATTGCGTCTCCTTTTTCTTTTGTTTCGTTCATGGTTTTCTTTATCCCGATGTCTCCATCTTGTCGGCTTCGGTGTCTCTGGAGACTCCTCTTTACCCCTGCTAAGTCTAGTGAAATTCTCTTGCGATTCATCCTAAAACACAATGAAATAAGACTTAAAATGCAAATGCAAAAAAAAAAGTTTATACAATAACATGTTAAGCCACTTGGCATACCATGCTTTTGCATAAATTATTTACATAATATTTTTACATAAGAACATGGTAAGCCAAAAAAAAAAGAAAATGTAGCCTACCTCTGTAGAATCTGACGATGTATTATCATTACTTGGTACAAAGTCTTTGTCGGCACAACTGTCATCACTATCCTCAGAAAAATCAGAACTTGAACTGCTATTTCCACTAAAAACGGCACTTGAACGAGCACGTGTACCGGAGGTCGACGCCATTTTGATGTGGCTTACCACGTTTTTACGCGAAAAAAAGACGAAATTTGGCAGACTGCAACAACACGATACAGCGATCGCTCCGCCATCTATTGTCTTACAGTCAAATTAATTTTTTTGTGGCTTAACATAGTTTTCGCCGAGTGATTAACACAATAAAACAGTTTTATGGCAAAGTGTGGCTTACCATTGTATTGCTCTAAGGTCTTCAATTTAAGAAATGCATGTTCTCGCTGTGCTGTTGCCAGTTGTTTGCGTACAGTCACACAGTACGCAACGACGATTTGTTTTTGATTTTGTTAGAATATTCCTCTGAGCGTATATCTCAAATAGCTGGACTTATGTGAATTTCATTAATTAACCTCTCAATGTTCAAATTTATCATTATTTTATCCTAACTGGCAACAATGATGTTCACTAAAATCAAAAAACCGTACTAAAACCGCTCGACGTGTGCTTCCTTCCATAAGCGAACAGGGAATGATGCGCCGAGCGTGTGCCGACTAGAGTCGTAAAACCGCGCTCGACACGAGCTGCTTTCCAGTGCCTAAATTGTTTAGAGTATCATGCTCCTGGAGTGTGACGCTCTTGAACTATTCGACATAAGCAGCACTGGAACGCTCTCGTCTTAACCCCCACCATTTCGGACTTCAGGAGCATGGAACACCGAAATAAGGGTTGGTGTACGAAAGGGCAGGGGATTACAGAAATGAGTAGTTCAAGTGTACGACACTCTAAGCACTGGAACGCGCAAAGTAATTGTGGAGCACTCCTGAGCTGCTCAGGAGTAACTCAAATGGGTCACTGGAAAGCGCCTATGATAGCAGGCAGGGTACGCTCGGCCACCGCTCAGCTGACGCCTCCGACGGGACGCCGTCTGTTTCATATACAATAAAGTCTGTTTTTTTTTAAAAAGATAATAGACCTATCTATTTTACCAGACAAAGAGGTAATAATACGAAAACTTCATTAGATAAAAAAAGACACAGAACTCTCATTGCGCAAGACGAGGCAAAACGTACCAAATTATGTTGGACTTACGTATAGCAATCCGTCCTTCTCATTTACACAGGATGAAAAGATAAGGAGAAAAACCGCGTGTTGCGCAACGTATTTGTCAAAAACAACTTTTGAATGTCACTTGTCAAGCTATGTCAAGTTGAATATCAATCGTACTTTTATTCTTCTCAAACTACGGGCAATAAACAAGGACAAGGAGATGCCCAGCGTGCAAAACGAACACGTCTTACCTGTACTAGTTAGCCAATAGAAAGGCATTGCCTCGTGTTGCGCGCGCATACCAGGTAAAAATAGATAGGTCTATTCCCTAAGTCAAAAATTTAGTAACTATGTTGGCAACACAGGCCTTTTGTTATTTCTCTTACCGTTTTGTAACCCGGTTAGTTAAACCGGAGCCACGTGAAAAGAATTACCAACATAATGTCAATTTGACTGCTGATAGTGGTGAGGTCACCCGCAGACCTCGATGGATTGCTTGTGATTCAGGCTGTGCTTGTAAATTAAGTTTTTCGACGATTTCAAATGTAAAAAAGGTGATTTCAACAAGATTTCAACGTTTAGAAATTCGTTTTTCGGACCTAAGTGATTTAAACTTGGATAATGCATTGTCGGCAAGAGTTGAGAGTTGCGGCTGAAATGGCTGACACTTTCAACTCAATATAAGGAGTCCTATTAGGGTAAAGTGTTCTTGGCCTATCCTCATTATTCCTCATAAGGCTTCAGGGCCGCCGAGAGCCGTGTCGGGCCCCGGTAAAAAGAACAATAACGGGCACCCTTTTTTTTCAAGATTTCATTGTATTTTTTATTTCAAGGAATAAAACTATGATGGGCCCCAGGTCTCACGGGCCCCGGGGCCCGAGAATTTGTTGTCCCGTTTGCATAATCTGATTATGCTGGGTTATGTATGTGATCTCTCAACTGTGTCATTCTCCCCAATTCCCTCTCCATCAATTTCTGGGCTTGCGAGTGACGTCACTATCAGCAGCTTATAGTGATGACGTCACCCGCAGACCTCGATGGAATGCTTACGATTCAGGCTGTGCTGGTGAGTTAATTTATTCCTCGATTTTAAATGTAGAAAAGGTGATTGTCGGTCTGTTCTCACAGAAGAAATAAAGTTTTCTTGATCTTCGAGTATCGCAGAATTTGATGGTGGGCCGGTGGGGGAATTAGGGGAGTATAACACAAATGACACATCACATAATCTAGGATAGGATTATGCTTGGTTATCCTCGCGAAAAATTGTCTATTGTGGAGTGGAGCGAGGTTCTGTCCAAAGTTCATTACACAAAAACAACTATGCAAACAAAACAACCAACCACTCAAACATTGAGAGCCAGGAGCCAGGGAATCCCCCAAAGACAGAAGACGTAAATACGAAACATGCATGTGGCAGGGTTGTTGCCGATGTTGCTACGGTATTAATTTACTTTTCAGAATATGTAGTATATTAATACCCAAATCATATATTATGTTCATTTATTTGTAAAAAACTATAAAGTTTCCGGGCCCCCACAAGCCCGGGCCCCGGTAATTTGTACCGCCTATAATGCCGTCTCGTCGGGCCTGTAAGGCCTGTGTAGCTCAAATCATAAGCTCCCAGTCCCCACCACGCCAAAGTACCAGTGATGACGTAGCAGCGTGACGTTTTTCACCTTCGCAGGGTGTTTGCGCACCACAGATTTATGATTCCGCTGGCTTTTGCTTTAATGCATACTTGGTTTTAGTATATTAATTAACATTCTAAAATAACCCTTTTTCAGATCATATCTTCCTCTTTGCCTATGGTAATCAAAATTAAATAATATTTTTCATCATAAATGTACAACCGCTGGCGCAGACAGCTTACGACATTGTTGATGACGTCGGCAACGATGCAACACCATGACTTTGATTCCAAAAATCGAAGCCGATGAGCAATCCTGTAGCAGTGAGTAATATCCTGAAATAGCGACAAGAGATCCTACCGCCATATTCTTGCTAATTCTAAAACCTAGTACTCATAACCGCGAATTGCGGATTTTTATTTTGCGGATTTTTTCTATTGGTCGAATATATTTAAATTGGACATATTCGTCCAATAGAAAAAAATTCGCAATATAAAAATCGACAATTCGCGGTTATGAGTCCTACTAGGCTTAAATATTTCATTGGTGAATGTAGGGGCGCGTTCTTTTTTCCATCAGACATACACGTGAAAACATGATGCCACCAAAGCGTTCTTTTATTGATGGTGGAAATATGATGGCCCACCACACCGCGTTCTTATTTTACTGGTGAATTTATGGTGGATTTCATTCGGTGGAAACCTGATGCAACCAACCTCCAACAGAAATTTTCTGTGATTTCTCTGGTGGTTTTGCGTTGGTAGACCATATAACCTTAAAAAATTAGCTACTGCTTCTTGTGTGACCTGTGTAGTCTTTGATTTGTTATTTAGCTCATTTGTGGAGAATCAGAAAGTTGATGACGTAACTTATATCTACAATGATTTATCATATTCAGTAAAAAAATTGCAAAAGAAAATTGAAATCCTCTGGGTAGTCAACCATTTCGCTTTGCAATTAATGTTCTTGGCCCAATTGCAGCTTTGCTCGCATTGTCCATTTCAATTTTTTTGAAACAAGCACAGATTATATACCATTATAGATATTTTCGATTTTTGGTGCACCAAAGCGTTCTTTTATGTAAATTGTGGTGGATATGTGGTGCTTCCACCAATTACATCAAAGAGTCACGTGACAGAAATCAGCTGATGCAACAGTAAATTTTTGATGGAAATCAACATAAACTTTTGGTGGAAAAAGGAACACGCCCTAGAAGTCCAAGTCGTTCTAGAAATTTTGTAGTCATGTTTAAATGCAGGTGTGATGTACGTTTTATCTAAGGATAATACACACTACTACTACAGGATAGCGTATCCTCATAAGGCCTGTGTAGAACAAATCTGAAGCCCCTCGGCACGCCAAATCACCAGTTGTGACGTAGATAGCATGTCGTTTCTCGCCTTGACGTAGGCTGTTTGCACCACCGGTTATGATTCGGCGGGCTTTTGCTTTATGCATATAACATTCTTAAAACAACTCCTTTTTAGATCTCGTTTGCCTATTATGGTCATCATAATTTAATGATATTTTGCATCATAAATTAAAATTCTAAATTAGGACCGGTAGCGCAAACAGTTGACGACTTAGTTAATAACGTCACCTATGGTGATACACCAATATGGCCGCGATTACTAAAAACGAGGTGGATGAGCAATTCTTAGTGTGTATTATCCTTGCATTTTATCTACAAGGGAAAAATAAGAAAATATTTGATTTTTTTTTACTAGGGGCACTTTCCTAAATTCACTGATAATTGACCGGTTAAATAAACCGGTATCTGTCAAAAAATTGTCGTAAAAGTCAGTGTGTTCACTTATAAATTTTTTCTTATATATATTTTTGGAATGTTTGGTGGTGTGGGGTGCAGTAAGGTTGGTATGTACAAAATTTTTTTTCTACAAACTTCACTAAGTGTCATTTTTAAAGGATGCTGTCAGTGTCTAAAGTGCCATTTTATGACACTGGTGTTAAAAGTGATTACTTTTAACACTGAGTGCTAAAAGTATTCACTTTTAGTGCGTTTGTAGAAAAAATAGTGTAGGTATGATATTATTCGTGCTAAAAGTGATTTTATTTTGTTCAAAGGGATGGAATACTCCGCCGTAAAGTGCACTTATGCGGTAAAGTGGACTGCAAAGTGTGCGGTAAAGTTAACTTTACCACATAGTATGCGGTAAAGTAGACTTTGGTATTTATGATTAAAAATCCTTTTTCTACTACCGTGCGTAAAGTACTCACTTTACGCACTATCCAGAAGACGTAAAATTTCACTTCACGCACTAGTGCGTAAAGTAATTCACTTCACACACTAGTGCGTAAAGTAATGTCAATGACAGATGTCAACACTGTCAAATTACTATTTTTCTGGTAAATTAC